AACTAATAATAAAATTAATAATCGTAAGCGGAATCTAGGCGAAATTCAAGTCCCAGGTCGAAAACGCGCTCCAATGATAACGGCCATTTCGCGGCCCCATTTAAATCTACAGAGTCGGCTGCGCGGGCGGTCGCGTCGCGCGCGCAACTTTTATCACCGGGTCACGCTCCGCCATCGTGCAATGCTAAATGTCAACATTTCGATATGTGCTGTCGCTAATCGAGGCAACCAAGCTCGGATGGGATTACCACGTCGTTTCCTCAGGTTTTTGAGATGATACTGATCTTAATTCAGTTTAGAGCTATAACCTTGACAGCTCCCGTGGTTTGGGCCAATGCATTTGGACTGTGTGTTTATCTCATCTGAAGTTTTGTAGAAGCAGATGAGCATTCATTGTTATCGTGCTCAGATCTTTACAACTCTGATTCTTACTTCTGGCGTTTTCAGTGGCAAATTGGCTTAACAAAGATTGGTACATTTGAAAAAGGTAATCCGGAGAATCGGACAGTTCCTAGGAAAAAGTAAGATCGTAGCTTGACATGCAAAACTTTTGCACTAGAGATGGGTTCTACATCAGGAGATGACTTCTTCATGATAGGGATACGGACTCCCGCCAGGGCCCGGCAGGAGGTGGCATTTCAGGATTTTGAAAACGATATCCCCTTTGAAGTCAAAATTTCTTACGACTTCCCTTTTGACCCTATTTTTGGCCCCCGTAAGTCCCTGACAGTCCCGAAGTGCAAGCTGGTTGGCATGCAATGAACTCGTAACAGCTGTCTTGTCGCGATTCAATCGCGACGATCAAATCGCGTAAACTCTGTCGAGTAAGGGATCGTCCAGACCAGAAACACATTGAAAATATGGGTCTCGCTGATCCACAAAAATATTGGAGGCAATGAAGGAAAACACACAAAGAAAAAGCAAAAAATTACAAATGTACAAAAACGAATGCAAAAATTCGATGTCATGTAACATATTTGCATAAATGCACCATTCCACCTACCTGAGATAGTCCGAATGAGCCGCAAATTGGTGACCTAAGTGCGACGTGCTGTAGTCGAAAATTCTGACATCCATGTCATCTGAGCCGAACAATCCAATTTCTGCGTGAAATAAACTTGGCAGCGCGCACTGGCAAATCACATATCTAAAGAATGCGCAAGATACTGGATTGAAACATAGTAAGCAACATAAGGCCCCAGCCAGACTTCAACTGAACAGCCCAGAACCGCTCAAAAACACTAAAGGCCCCTTTTCACGACGCATATGTACAAGAACACCTGGCAACGCTTGACTATTTGCGGGATAGGAACTCATTCTTGGATGAGCTATCTTGAGCGAAGTCTGGCCGGGGCCTAACATACAAAAATACATGAAAATTCAAAAAAATAAACAAAATAAACCTACTTTGAAAGATTTCAGAAGCAGCTGACTCTCGTAATTCCATATCTGAACGCTTCCACTGTAAAGAGCTGCCAATAGCCACATTTCCGTGGGATGAAGGTCCACCGACTTTACTCGACTCGATCTTGTCAAAAACATTTCCTCAACTTTTGATGACAGCATGCCTGCAACAACCAGAATAAAGAAAAACGACGAAAACAAACGACCCAAAAGAGCGAAAGTGCGGAGAACGACCACAATGCGAAAACTGAAGAAACACAATCACGAAAACAGCTTTTTGTATAGAACATCACGACCAAATATGTTCTCTGGCCCTTCTGAGCCCTTGTAGGGCTCGTCGAAGAAGCAATCTATTTAAAAATTGCGAAGATTGCTTCAATCAGCGATCACTAATCAAGCAAAAAGTCAAATTCTCGAAGTTTCCGCGTCGTCCGTGCAAGGTGCACCGATTGCGATTGGAGCGCGCTTTCTGAGGCCGATCATAACGCTGTGAACCCTATTTGGGGCTGTATCGAAGCGTTACCTTGGTGGTTTTGAAAGCGGATTTGAACATATAGTAATACTCTCGACCTAGTCCACATTTATGTAAAGAAATCTGGGAAATTATGTGAAGGGAAGCAGGGAGCCACCCCAGGTGGCTCCCAGGTGGCGCGGGAGCCACCTAATTTCGAAAAACACTTACCATTTTTTAAATTCACATAAGTTTCTCATAATTCTTCATACTTTTTTTGTGCTTATGGTCCTCCAACTATACAGCAAATTTGGTGCCATATCGTTACTTGTGCATTGAAAACGAGCCTATTTTGTTATTTCCCTCTTACAAGAATTGCGATTTGAATTCCCGCCTGCGGGCAGGCTAGCGATCGGAGCACGGAATCTTCACATTGCTGGAATCTAAGTTCATAGGACAGTAGCATCAACAAGGAATGTTGAATAAAGAATGACATGTGCATTGTTTATCGGTAAACAAAGGGGAAGTTGTATTTTGGGGTTCGGGGCTCCGCCCCGGACCCCAAAATACGACCTCCCCTTTGCTTTTTCGGGCCAAAAACGATATCCAGCTTGTGAAAGCGCCACCCCCGCCGGGCCCTGACTCCCGCTCTTGCGCACCTTTTCGTGAGCTCCGCCTTTAATGTAGTGTATGTGCATGTCAGCTACTTATAAGATCTTTTCAATACATGTGGTCTCCTGAGTCTTCCAGCATATACAGGGTGTCCCAAAAAAATGTGAACACTGTTCGATCGTTGATAACTCCCTTGTTTTCATGTCTTTCGCCGAGCTTAAGGTATTCTGTAGAGCGAGGTTCAACATGGATTTACAACATGGAGCGAATCATCGATCGCTCTTCATTACTGTAGGATTACGATAGGAACTTCGACAAGGATTTTAGGCCGTTGGAGGCCATATTCTGCCTCGGAGCAAAACCAAGCAAGCCAAAAACTTTTGTGCTATGGTAATGGAGGCCGCTGATTTCGATTATGACATTTCCACTTTCCTGTAATGCTTCTTTCCAAAGTTATCCCAAGTAGACCGTAGTAAGTGAAACCGCAAATCGCATTTGTCAAAAATGTAATTACACCGTCAAAAAAGCTGAAAACACTCGAAAGTTGTGTAATAGAATTAGCGTGCTCGAAAACCCCACTACACGACTTTTCAGATTTTTTTTAAATTTTGTCAGATGACATATTTCACGATGATTCCATATGCTGAAAGTTTTTACCGTAATCCTACAGTAACGAAGAGCGATCGGTGATTCGCTCCACACTGTAAATCTAAGTTGACCTCACTCTACAGAATGGTACTTTATGCTCAGCGAAAGGTATGAGAGCAAAGGAGTTATTAACGATCAAACAGTGTTCCCATTTTTTTGGGACACCCTGTATGTTTCTGCGTCCATTATTCAGCAATTATCTAAAAGTCGCCCCAAGGCATCCAAAGTTGATTATTCTGTGTCTCATGTAAGGAATATGCAGTTCAGTAGGTATAAGCTCCTGCAAGACGAAGGCGGTTGGTTCGAGGCGCGACGCTGCTGTGACGCAGCCATGTCGCAGCCGCGTTGCACATTGTACCGACCGCCTTCGTCTTGCATGAACTTATACAGATGAACATATCGAAGGATTTCATACGATAAACAAAACGGTACTACTCCTGACCCAAGAAATGAAAGCCGCACATTTCGGTAAAACTTCTCCAGAGGGACTATTTTGCACGCTGATTACGAATATCGCATTTATTCCGCACGGTAGTGTCATACGGTCGCGAATTTGCTCAAAACTTTGCCTAGAGGGGTTATTAGGCACGCTGATTACGACTGTCATACTCTTTTTGCGTTTTGCGACTTTTCCGGGGAGTTACGATAGGTGTGCGATAGGTGGCTAAAGTGATATACAGGGCTTTACAACCTGAGATTGTATATTATTAGATTGAGAACCACCCGCCCCGCTAGGCCGCCACGCTTAGGTCCGCGCAGCGTTCGTGGCGCTGGCTGCGCGTCGACTGAAGCTCGGCGAAATCCGGGCGATACGCAGCAAACGCCGCGCGCGGCCTGAGCGAGGCGGCCGCGTTGGAGGAGCCGCGCAAGCGAAACTTGCGACTCTCAGGTTGAAAAGCCCTGTATTTGCTCGAACCTTTGTGCAGTGGTGTTAACTACGCACTGATCCCGTATCGCAATCACAATCGTCTCGCTTGACGCAGTCTTTTCATGGGCTTTCGGGATCTAAATTTGGTTGAATAGCGGAAAAGTTGCTCTTTCACGCACTGTACAGTCTTTTTCAAATGAGTAGGCGAAATATCACAAGTCGAGCGCGTTCGCACTGCCACTGGCTCAACGACATAGATCATAATGAAGGAACGCAGACTGCAAAGCGACGCGAATTGTTGCGAAGCGGACTCACAGGCTAGTCCCATTTCCGCTCAAACTGAGTTGAAACTTGCTATAGCTCATCTTAATTTTATGAAGGTAATACTGCAAATTTGTCAAGGCATTGCTGCAGCGAATGAGCATGAGTCGTCAGCGTGCTTAGGAACCTCTACAGGCAAAGTTTTGAGCAAATTCGGGACTTTTGGCAATCTAATACCCACCGTAACTCAAGAAATGGTCCTATTGTACGAAATGAATATGATTTTCGTACTCAGCATGCCAAGTAACGGCCCTGGAGGCAGTCTGGGGCAAGTCGGTGGTTTTGACCCCCGACTGTAATCCTATCATAACTCCACTGGATGGCACTGCCATGCGGAATAAGCGCGATATTCGTAATCAGCGTGCAAGATAACCCCCCCCCTTGATGATTTTTCAGCAAAATCCGCTGTTTCCATTTCTTTCAACTAATGTGGGAGATAGCGCCAGGAATTCGAATGACATAACATCTTTTTTGCTTTATGTGAAGACTATAATCACTCCAGATGCACATGCAAATGAAATCATGTTTTATCTTTCAAATGTTCAAGAATTGGAGATAGTAAGAATAATCGAGATCATAGAAGCGTCCAGTCTACAGTATGTTTACGACAGATCTAACAAAAAAAGACTTGCGATACCTTTCAAGGATGTAAACATGCTAGGCAGCATGCATCTGATGAACTAAACTCACAATCACATGGATGACAACTCACAATCATCTCAACTTCTTCGGATTAAGCGCTATGCTCAATCTCTCAAAAAACGCCACATTTCATTGTCACAAAAGCCGTTGATCGCCACATTTCAATGTCAAAGAAACCGTTGGCGTTGTCAACAGATGAGACCAGATAGCACATAATGAACCGAATAAGTTTCTACATCCAGCAGAGTGCAGCGCACACGGCAAGCGTGACCCGATGATAAAGGCTGCGCTCGCTACGCGACCGCCCGCGCAGCCGACTCTGTAGATTTAGGGCCGCATGCACTAACCTCCCCGCGGGGAGGGGATCGCAGCTTAAAAGAAAGCTTTATATTTCAAAACTCCAGATACCTGGATTTCACGTTGTGTACCTATCCGTAAGTATTCCTACTACCCTTCACTATGAACATGTTGAACAGGAGCGAGAAGCTGAACGAACCGCATTTTCCAGCTTTTGTATGATCCCTGATGATCCCCGGCGCTTTTCTTTGAAATCATTTTTCTTTCTCCGATGTTAACGAAAAACCTCCAAAGTTGTGCAGATTATCTAAACCGACAGTGCTAAGCATGTTGCTGATAAGAACAAATGATGTTTTGAAGTCATGAAATTTTCGATGATCCACAGGTCGAAATTTGAGGTTTGCCAGAAAATTCGACTTTTTAAAAACTCATTTGTTCTCATCAGCAACATGCTTAGCAGTGTTGTGTCAGATGTTCAGTACGACTTTGGAAGGTTTTCGTTAACTTCGGAGTAAGAAAAATGACTTTAAAGAAAAGCGCGGGGGATCATCAGGGATCATACAAAAGCTGGAAAATGCGGTTCGTACAGCTTCTCGCTCCTGTTCAACATGTTCATAGTGAAGGGTAGTAGGAATACTTACGGATAGGTACACAACGTGAAATCCAGGTATCTGGAGCTTCGAAATATAAAGCTTTCTTTTAAGCTGCGATCCCCTCCCCGCGGGGAGGTTAGTGCATGCGGCCCTTGAATGGGGCCGGGAGGAGGGGATTTGGATCGCTCGTACACTACCCTGGCTTCTATAGTCGCTGCAGTGCGTCGTTTACTTAGTGCTCGTGTAGTTGCGTACATGGCATGCTTAGGCGTATCTCATTTAGTTTTTGCAGCTTTCTTCAACTTAATCCTTCTTGTGCGTTTGAAGCGACTTACGGGGTTGGTTTTCTATCGGCTGCGTCGCGGGTTCAGGTTGAAAAAGGTCGAAGAGGCTATCTTCTCAATCTTCGCCCAAACATCCGCAATGCTAGAGGTTTGTTTGTTTTTTATCGTCACTTCTTTGGTTCTTCAGTGGGTTTTTCTTTTTGTACTAAGATGTCTCTGGTTCGAAGTAAAATCTTCAATTGATTGGTGCTTTCTAACTTCATGATTCTCATCTTCAAAGCCCAGAATGGAGAAGCCGGCGCTATCTCAGTAACGGCCCCGGCCAGACTTCGCTCAAAAGCGCCTAAAACGCCCAAATTCTCTGATTCTCTCATTTCTCCTCACACGAAAAAGTGTGAAGAGACGTTAGAGAAATTTGGGCGCTTTCGGCGCTTTTGAGCGAAGTCTGGCCGGAGCCTACCTAGCTCACAAAAAAAAAACCTTACAGCAGTCAGTGGATGTAATATCCCTCAAACATGTAGGAATCATCTCCAATACGGCTGTTTACCCTACATATTACCGATATGCAAATCCAATGTCTGATTATCACATTTAGCGCTTGCTAGTCGGATGTTCTGGCAGTGATCCATTCTCCGTGATTATCGTGGATCCTCGAACAGGTGTGGCTTCGTGGAGTTACAAAGGCTCCGAATTGCAAGGCGCAGCGGTGGGATTTGTGGAACCGCTAGGTAAGTGCTCGTCCGTGTGTTTTTCGTTGGTAAATCCTACTGTAGGTGTCAGCGGTGACCATCTTGTGTTGTCTATCAAAGATCGGCCACTAATTCATGCATTGGCCGTACATCCGCGTGATCGATATCATCAAAAATCCGTTGTTGCTGGTGTGGTAGCTGCTTTATGCATAAATAGAGATGGGTCGTTGCTGTTTGCGGCCGTAGGGACCCAGCTTTACGTATGGCTTGTAAGTTCTTACTGTAGTTCCTTTTATTCAAGTTATCACATTGTTTATGAAGTTTGAATTCGGCCTATCTGAGAAGCTAATATTGCCTCTGTCTTGTTCTGACGTCATGTATTTAGCTTTCCAGCGGTGAATTGCTAACAGTCATAGATGCTCATTATCAAGCTATGACAAGGATCGCTTTGTCAGCAGATGAAAGCGTGCTTTTTACGGCATCAACTGACGGTGCTATAAACTGCTTCTTGGTTTCTGAGTGGGTTTCCTTTATTCAACTTTGTTTGTAATTTCAGTTCTTGCTACTTTTTCCGTTCGAGTCAAAATTTTGTAGCATAATTTCGCAAGATCGCGATCGCACAGTTGAACCTTTGCGAAACTGGCGAGCTCATACTTTGGCTGTCAAAGGTCTATCTGTCAGTTGTGGATCAAATCCACGTGTTGCTAGCTGTGGGTTAGATCATCTTGCTCTGATACACTCAGTCTCTCTCAATGACGTTTTGTTGAAAGTGAGTTTCTCAGAACAGGATTTGATCTGAGGGAAAATATCATGCGAACTCGTTGAGGTGTCTGCTGATCGGCCACTTACTGCTTGTGCGTTGGATGCAGCTGAGTCGAGGTTATTCTTAGGTTCGGACACTGGAAATATAGCGCAAATAAATTTATATGCACTGGTGAGCCCAAACTTATTCAATCTTGGCTTTAGTATCTGGTTCTTAACTTTCTACATTCGCGTAATCTTTCGAGATTTTTAAATCTTTTGCAACGAATTTGTAACTCAACTTATCCTATTTGAAGTGAATGTTGGGAGGTTTTTCTGGTCTTTTCCTTTTGCTGGTGAATTCATTGAAGTTTGTCAATCTGTTCTTATATGCCCTACTCAGGAGTACGCATGAAGCTCTGATACAAAAATAGGTTTGAAGGTTTGTGCTAGCCAAGTTGAAGCTGTCTTTGGGTAGAGCTCTGAAAACGAAGTTACTATGTAGGATCAGTAGAATCGTTGCATCCTGAGTATCCGATCGCGAATACCTGTGAAATGCGATGCACAAGTTATCGATGTTCTAAAATGAAAGACTGAGTTTGTGATTGTTAGGTTCACTTGACTTTTTGTCTTGACCTCTTACTCTCGCATTTCAGGACGATCGACGTGAAATTTTAATCCAAGTAGCAGACGAGAAAAATGAAAGAGTACCGGTTTTCAATGGTCACTGCGATGAAATCACAAGCCTATGTGTCAACGCTGATGGTTCGTTATTAGCTTCTGGTGATAGTGCAGGGAAATATTGCATATGGGAAATTTCTAGCCGACAGTGTTTGAAGGTATTTGCTTACGCTTATATCTGCCATTAAAATTTAACGCATGTTGCAGGTATCCACGATGCGCGGACCGATCTCTTCATTACGATTTGTCGCTGACTGGCCCAGCATAACGGCATCCGAGCATATATCCATGCATCCAGTATTCGATTTGCAACGAAATACATCGAGAGGTGAAAAAATAATGGTGAAGCCGAGCGAAGGGAAGAATCGCAATAACGTACGTTTGATATTTACGTGTCGTAGTTGCTTGATAAATCTTTTAGATTTTTGCCAAGTTGAATTTTTTTTGCTAGACCTAAACCTTAACACTTTTTAGGATTTCTGGCATGGAGAAGTAGACCGACTGATAGCAATCGCTTTACAAGAGGTAATTGTCGCACTTGTTGTTTTCCATCGTAATTTGCTTTCTATAAAGCGCTTTAATTTGCTAGTAGTGCAGTGCAATTTGCATTTTTCTTTTTATTATTGACGACGCATTGCCATGCTTATGGTGAACGCTTGCTATTGTCGAAAAGAATTTGTTTTGCAAAATTTTAAGAAGGCAGACAGAGTTTACTGTTCAACCGTATTACGTGATCACCTTGGGAATGGCTGAAGCATATTGATATATCATTGTTTTTCTATCAGACTACCCAAAGCGAACCCAACGCAAAGACGAAGAAAAAGAAAAGGAAGCTGATGAAGACAAATGGAAACGATAAATCTGACGTTGTTGTATTGGATGACGATATTATGGAAGTCACGGGCGAGTCTCGCCACGATTCCGTTTCTAGCGGTAAGTCTTCTTTTGTTCATAAGCTGCGTTTGAAAATTGCCCTCTATTGCAGCGGCTACCTCGAAAGAGGATAGAGAGTTGATACAGAAACAACAGGAAGAAATACAAAAATTGAAAAGAATTAATGCTGAATTGTATAGTTTTATGGCAAAAGAATTAACAGATAAGTAGTAAGTTTCATATGCTTGTTTATACCAAATTTCGGAGATATTGTTATTTTTGTTGTTGATTGTTATTGTTCGCTTGGTTGTTTTTGTCGGTGCATGCCAATAGTTTGGAAGGTCGGAGTACTTATTGGTTATAGTAGAAAACTTGAGATCTAGCCTTTTGTATTGTACGTGGTGAAGGCTCCCGTATGTAGCGGAAAGTCGGCGATAGGTTCAAAATGATATTGTTTTTCTAATCCATATCGAATGCTTCGTCAGAATGTGTTCATGCTAGTCTGTTTTATGTTAATCCGGCAACAATATAGGCGGTTGACGGATGCGCACTCTCACAGACCGGGCCTCTTCAGTTTGAGATACTGATTGATGAATTGCTACTGCTTCTGCGTTTTTGCACTTTTGTCCTTTTTTCCCTCTGTGACTCTTCAAGTCATCGAAGCCGTAGTCGTTCTGCTCGCGACTGCAGCGCTATTGCGCTGGTGCAGTTCCTTCTGGCTTTAATTAACTCTGCCTCGGTTTCTACTGGTGCTGCAAAATCGTAATCAAAAATTCTACTGACTGTATCTCAGCATTTGGAAAATCTCTACTACCCAGCAGATGAACACAGCGACGACGAACCACACTATCTGCCCGAGAACGGGCATCGAAATAACTGAGCAGTGCCTTCATAAATTACTCTAAGACGATAATTTTTCGTTCGCAGCACGTCATCTATTGAATGTTGTTAGGAGGCGCTCAAATCTAGCGCAGGGGAGTACTTTCTGGTTCTCTCTTGCTGTGCATGACACGGCTGATGTCAGTAAAGGTTCTTTTTTCATCTTTTGGCATCGTCTTATCCTACCCCACTTGCTTTGTTATACCCATGAAGGTTTTCTTTTTCATTGCGTTCAAACTCTGCAGATGCAGCAATGGTTGCCGTTTCAGCTGCAAACCCATCTGAGAAACACGTAAATGAGATGCACTTATGAGCTGCACCAGCTTGTCCTCATTAATGGATGGCAGGATGGAAAACTGCCAAGCGGAGACAAAGGACATGAACATTTAAGGAAAGGGCGAAGTAGTAAATTTTGATGGACACGCGAGCTAGTGAAGACAGTGTGTGTTCTGATACTCTGCTACTCCATGCCCATTTCAATGGTGAACTTACTTTCTTCTTAGTCGCTGCAGCAAGGGACAACTATTTTTGCTGTTTTGCTATCCACAGTTTATTCCTGCTATACCGTAGTCTAAAAGCATTGACAAGTCTAATTTGCTACACAAGTAAGGAGTTCATTACTGGTTGGAATAATCAACGAAACGCCTCCACAGATAATCTTGCTAACGAAAGAAACTTTGTCCTCAGACACCTAGGTATCCTAAACGTTTCCAGTACTCATTTGAAAACATTCTATCCACCGAAAAAAACCTCATTCCCCCCCCCCCCCTTCAGCACAAGATGCTGTCTCCAGTGATGGTCGTCGGTCTTGTTAAGCCCACAGTTTCGTACAATACTCTTCTACAAAATGTTACGATGGTAGCCGCGACGCTCGTGAGTTGCGAACTCAAACATTAAAACCACAACCAATGATGCAATGGACATACAAAGCCAAGACATAGCTATAAATAATGGAAGCGACTACAATGTCTGTGCTAATGCGGTGATCCGTAAACGTTCCCTATCAAAGAAGCTTTTTCGGTGCAGATAGATTTGTGCATGTATTCTGGTTTTTAATTAAATATTAATGTACTTGTACACATGGTCAAGCCAAAGCCATATCAAAGCAAGCAATACAGAATCGCGGTGACTACGCGGCGCGGTTGTTTCCTGCGTATCCCCTAGTCAGACTGTTTCTTGATAGTGCTTTAGATTGCAGTGTGAATTACTATCCGGATTGACCAGTAGCGGGCCCAAGGTTTCCGTTCCGGGGGAGGGGGGCAATGAAGATTTTCTCGGAGGGAGGTGCGCCCAATATTTGCGGGCTCATGACGCGGAAGTTTCATTTCATTTTCAATTACAGTCGAATAGATTTTCCGCTTAATATGATGTGCTTGCACTGTAGGTGAAACCCGGTAAAATTTGCGCGTGAGGAAGTAGTCGCGCCAGTAGCGCCGACATTTTGCGCCCGCAGTTGGCCGGCGTCACAGTCGGAACTATTTGTTTACGCGCAAATTTTACCGCGTTTCACCTTTTGTGCAAGCACACTATATTAAGCAGGAAATCTATTCGACTGTCCATAGAAATGTGCCCTAGTCTAGTATATAAAGAATTGTAACGCCAATTCAAAAATCATCAGATAGTGGGAAACCGCGGTGCGGTCCCGAAGCGCGCGGATACAATCTAGCACCTTTAATTACTGGATTATTAGTTTCAGACAAAGAGTAGCTTTGCCACTTTGTCAAACTGCGGGCCACAGTGCAAATTCTATATATAAAGAAGCGCTATGCCTATTCAAAAAGGTAAAATTGCAGGAAATCGCGCGGCTCCCGCAGCGAACGCTCCTGCAGATCTTCACTTTACATTACGGCCCGCTAGAAAAAACAAACAAAACAATAAACAGATTTGCTAGTCAACTGGGTGTCTCCAGCATCCAGACCACCAGCCGATTTCCTGCAGAAGGCTGAACGCTCTCAGCCCAATCAGCTCAAAATTTTCAGCAGGTCTAAAGAAGCCTTGTCGCTATTTTCACACCATCTTAATGTGATTTCATATTTGAGTAAACGTAGCGCCGTGGAAACGACGAACTGGTATACGGTAGCCGGCCACGCCGTAGCTCAACGGAGAGTCGATTCGACCACATCTTTTGTAATGTTCTTATACAGCTGGAGCGCACATTCTTGGCTTATCTGCATCATCTCATCTTAATTCTCATAACATACTTTCCGTTATCTGATAACAAAATTACATTTGTTCAAATGCCACTCTCACTCTTGTGTCCAAAGATTTTTATGTGCATGAATCCTTTCAAACTCTGAGAGCACCAAATTACGTCTGTTCTGTAAGTTTCCCAGTCGGCCTTTTTACTTGTTTTGGAATATTACTATTTGCACATCTTTGCAAACATTTTTCAAATAAGCATTCCTTATATTGCATGCATTTTTACTATTGCCTTGAGAGCTTTTTTTTCTAGTTTTTATGCGCATCTCCAATTACATAAAGCTTTGTTCATTCTGTGATTTCGTATCTTGAAGGGAGAGCATAACGAATGTAGAATTTTTTCTGCTTGCTCTATGCTCTATTGCAATGATAATGAGTAAGAGGAGGAGATTTGGTTTCGAAAGATGTTACTGTTTGCTGGGAATTTGTGCTACAAAATGCTCATCGACATATAATTTTGAAAGAAATTTGACCCATAAAATCTTGACATAAAATGAGCTGAATGTGATCCCTATGAAATGCATGAAAATCATAAGCGCTGTGCATTTTCGGAACTTTCGCTTTATAAATGAGACTTAGCCAATATTTTGAACATGAAAAATGAAAAAATTTTCTCAACTGTCAGCGGCAAGCAAATCCAAAAATTCGAAAAGTATGCATTCTCTCACAGCAAAGGCGAAATAAGTGGGTACTTTCCACTTTTTTTCCAGAGAAACAAGATGTTGGCAATTTTTGCCTAGGAAAACTATTGTGATCTCACTAGATTTGAGTATTCACAGGACCGCTAAAGATTTCTAGGTTGCAACACAATTAATTACACTTGTAACATCACATCCGAAAAAAAGTGCGAATCTTGAACATGAAAAGTGAATAGAATTTTTGAACAACTGAATGCTAAAGTGATAGATTCTATCCCACATTCTTGGCAGAATTTAGTCTTATACGCTTAGCTTTCGCAAACCGAGCACAAGATGTTGCTTATTATTTCAGACTATCCAAATACATATAAGCTGAGGACTTAGTACACAGGTTACGTAAGACTCCATATCGGAGAATGCTAATCCTCGACCTGTGCGTTTCTTCTGTTGTCACAATACCGCTAAGCTATGACAGTTGCCAAAGGCTGGGCTTTGCCAAGCAGAGCCAGTTGCCCAGCACCTTCCTCCTCCTAACACCAACCGGCCGCATCCTTCTCTCCCATCTAATCCCAACACTTCCGGTAATTTCTCCATTATATATACTCCTTAACAAGACCGCGCAGGCTTCGAGTCCAGAATTAACTCGTCCCTTGAGATATAAAAATCCGATTCTCAACCCTCACAACCACATGTAAAAAATCGATTGCTAACCCCTCCTCACTTCATTACTTAATACTACATAGTACGAAAGTGCAATAATGACTTGATCGAAATACTTTTATCAAAATAATCAAGAATTCTCGACATATGTAAAAATATTAGATCGGCTAATAAATAAGTTCGGTCGCTTTTTCAGCTCTTACAAATGCTGTAGACAAATTTTTGTCCAATGTTTGGTATCTCTGAAAAGAGCACTTCACTGGGTATTGGAGCATATATTCTGTTTGAGTAAAACTTATCTTCCCAGGAAAAAAAACCCGCAAAGAAGTGAAGAATATTTTCCCACAATGCGCAAATATGAGGAAATTCGGTTTTCTTAGTGAAACATTTTCAAAATGGCAGATCACAGTTCTTTTTGTTGTTCACTAAATAGGGATAACTCCTCTGCATCCGAACACCAAAGTGCTGTTCTTTACATCCATTACAGCATGAAAATTCTTTACATCCATTACAGCATGAAAACGAAGCTCAAGGAGTCAAAGAATTGAGCTTTTGGAAGTTTCGCCATCTTAAGGCATGACTATCTTTACTGAGAAAATGCTGATTATTTAATATGTGATAGAGGAAGCTTCGGACTACTTTCCCACAAAGAATTATAGATTGAAAACAACAAGAAAATTTTTTATGACAATCTGTATGCCAAAACGAACTTACCTTCAGCCAACCTAATAATTAGGAATGGATTTACTATTTACTGCTTCCAAACTTTACTTTTTCCAAATGTAACAGGTAAACTTACTAAAGTTAGTTCAGCTATTTTGCATGAAATGGTAACAATCTTCACAACGACAAAAATGTATACTTTCTAAATATTTGATTTGTTCATTCCAAATTTTTCAAAACTATTGGGAATTTTGATGTCTGGTATTGGCACGAATCTGTAAGTACATTGTTCATCTGAATATATTTTGGTGGCAGCAAGAGGACAAACCGATTGTCATGTGTCAGCTACAGCAACTAATATCTCGTGATAAATTTCCCTTCTAGCCATACAGTCTTGCCTTTTTTCTCTTCAGTTTCCTCTGATAACATATTGGAATGGAAAAATCACTTTTATGTACAACTTTACAACGCTCATGTGAAGGAATCGCGAACCTTATCCTGCCGCCAGGCACAAACGAGACCATTACTCATCCACTCGACAGCAAGGTGCCAGGAGGATCTGTCGGATCGCCAATTAATCTTTGAGGGCTATCCACCGAGGATTTGCTCCGCTTTACATTAAAACGCCCTTCTGGCATCTTCATCGAAGAGATAGAGCCGTCGGCAACTATAAATCCAAGTCTAATTGAAATAGATTTTGCGAATAGATTGAGGATGATTTACTCATTTCATAAATCAATGATATTTGCACCTATGATATGAAACATTACGAGCGATACATGGAGCAATCACAGATGAGCAACAAGACAGACCATTACAAAGAGATGAAATGACAAACTATTATATTGGAGGAGAAACTAGTGAGAGGTTGAAAACAGGCATGCTAGAAGTCGAACTTTATAGTTTTTACTTGTGTGAAATGCCGTATATTCTTTTTGATTTAATTGATAGACACGATTTAATCGATTGAAAGAGCATCCATGCAGGTATGGGAGTAGACATGCTGAATTATCTATCTATTTGATGTATGGATGTTAACATTGTAGCTTAACACATTCACGACAAGGCCGATTTCTTTCGATTACTGCCATTTCGGACCAGAGCGTTTTTCGCTTCGTCAAAATTACGACCCAGCCGTGGGTCGTATTGTCGAAATGGCAGTCTTTTTGGGAGAAATTCAAAACATGTCTCCGAGAATTTCCCCATAAGAGATATCGAACGAGATGATTACCAAAATATGATTTATTTCAGTTTTGGAAGTGTGCGGTAAGGGTACGGTAGTCATTGTGTAGGAACCCAACAACATGGATTTTGATGCAATATTGTGTTTTGGGGTTATTTCACGTGCTGATCACGATTGTAGTGTCTACTTTGTTCACTACTTTCTCACAGTGGGACTACGGTAGCAGTACGGTAGAATTTTTGTAGAAATCAAGAAACTGATGTAAGAAGGTGGTATCAAAACTTGAGATTATCATTTTTGTAATCAGCATGCTACAAAACCTATATATGCAATGTTCGAGCTTCCTAGGATGAAAAATGCAAAAAATCAATGGAATCAATAAAATCGATAATTTTTTGGTGGGCTGACGTCAGCCTCTTGCCCGTCCCGTATTACTCTTACATGTAAACTTGATTCTCCAGAAACAGCATCATCCTGCGAAGACTTTGAGCTAAAAGCTTTGCCTTACATCTATCTACAGTATACCTACCGTAACATTACATTACAGTGTCGAGAGCTCGGGCCCCACTCATAAGTGTCCCCAATTATATGCCAGGACCCCGTAAAATTCCGTCGTAAACCGGCAAAGATAGCGCTTCATGATCACGACCCACCGGTGGGTCGTATTGTCGTGAATGTGTTAAATGCAGCGTCCAGGCAAATCTGCCTTATTTGGAGAGTAATCTTGGAGTCTAACTAAAACACTGCCCAAGCGGCAGTCCAAATGGTGAGCTCACAGCTGAGATATTCGCCTCCAACCTGGACCCCCGTAATCGTATTCGCACGGATTCATGGCGATCAGTTTCGCGCGAGGACCCACGCGTGTCGCGCCATTCCATGCGAATACTATTCCGCGGTCCATTTTGGGGGCGAATGTCTCAATTGTGAGTTTACCATTTGAGCTGCCGCTTAGGCAGTGTCTTAGTTAGGGCCCAAAATTACTTTCCACATCAGAACCCCGTATGTCCAGATTTGCCTGGACGCTGCTTTTAAAGGCAGTGGCTCGGGAAGATTGCGGTTACGGACATCCCTCCCTCCTTGCCCTTTTGGATGCTGAGTCTAAGACTGTGCTTGAAAAGTCAAAAAAGTGCTTTTTATCGCGTTTTCTCTCCTGCAGCCAGTCGCTGTTTTTGGTGGGAATCGCTCCCCCAACCCCAACAGCAATCTACAAGGCTGGCCAAAAAAACGCTTTTTGACTTTCTGAGTATATTCCAGGACTCAGCGGACCTAGAAGGCCATGTAGTCGTGAAAAGCTCGCAGTTCAATGTGCAAAATGTTGCTTGTTCTTTCATCTCTCCACGACAGTTTACAGGGTAGGTCCTGGCGCGTAAACTTCGCTCGTCCCCACTGTTTAATTCGGGGCGCAGCATCGTCGACTACAGTGCTCTCTGGCATCGGCAATCAAATGGATGAGTTTTTCGTGACATTGCTCTACGCTCGGTGAAATCGGTCGATTTGGATTCGTCGCGGGCACTCCTTTTATTGAAGGACCTCTTGTACCGTACTCTCTCGGGCTTTGAGTCTTTCAAAAGAAAAGCTTTATTTCCTGACCACGGCTATCTGCTAGGCGCATTGGTTCTTTGTGATGCGATCATGTAAACATCTCGCGGGCAGTTCTTTCTATAAGGCCATCTGTGCCAAAAGTAGAGGCACACGTGCAGGGCAACCTCCACATCGTTGTCTCTCTTTGGTCTTGACTTTCCCCTTTTTAAACAGTTCTCGGCAAGATCGATATGCTTCATTGTGTTCTAAAGTGCATGAAAGCTTTGAAAAGTGTATGGATCGTGTTGTAGCTTTACAACATTAAGTCGTGTTTTGTACCGTGCAAACTTGTTGATATCTAGATTTCAGTTTTATTTTTTATCAACTTCAATCAAGCAACGATGCGTAACGAAACATTCTACACAGTCGACAACTATTGGTTGGTTGTGTTTAAGTCTCTAACTCCTGCAGCTCATGATGTTCTTTGGCTTTGACCATACATCATTATTTACCCGTGTTACCATTGTTACCACTGGTACTCGTGTTACCGGTGTTATCAGTTTACTCGTGTAACTAGTTTAGTAGTGTTACCGCTTTTATCGCTGTTGTGTAGTGAAATGTTTGGTGACACTGATGGTCATCTAATTCTCAGTAGCAATAAAAGCGGTAACACTAGCAACAGTAGTAAGGCCTCGGGCAGAGTTGAGCGATCTGATCTTCGCGATTCAATCGCTACGAGACAAGTGTTACGAGTTCATTGCATGCCAATCTTTTTGCATTTCGGTTGTGACAGTTTTCCAACACGATTAATCGTGACTAACTATCACAACCGAAATACAAGAAGATCGGCATGCAATGAACTCGTAAAGGGCCGGGCATACTTCACGCGATTGCAGTCGCGACGAGATTTGGCAGTTCGCCAAAAGTCTTCAGATCAAACACTAGGAAACTGCACATGCATAGCGTGTATAACTTACGTGGATTGATAAAATGACTTATCTTCTGTACGTTCAGAATTTGCTTACAATGAGTTATGAATAGTTGGAATATTGCCAAACCGCGTCGCGACAATCGCGTGAAGTATGCCCGGCCCTTAACACTTGTCTTGCAGCGATTGAATCACGACGATCAAATCGCCGACATTTCCATTCATTTTCATTTCACATTCAAAAATTCCGGGCTGGAAAAATATCACAGTTGAAATGCAAGTTGATCGGCATGGAATGATGTTGTAACAGTTGTCTCGTCGCGATTCAGTCGCGACGATCAAATCGCGTGAAGTCTGTCCGGGGCCTAAAACGAATAACAGTAGTAATCCTCGTAATGTACGGTCAAAGCCATTTGATTGTGATTCACTCAGTGTAAGGATCCGTTTCATCCCTTTTTGCTCAAGACACTCACTTGTACGATTATGGATTCAACGGTCACCGCGTAGTTTTCGTTAAAAAAAAAAACAGAACCAGCGAAGATCAACTCTTTCGGTGAGACTTTAGTGTAGCCTAAAGCGAAGTAGCGCCTTGTGGAGTGTGTTATATAGAACACATTAGCTAATAAGCTTTATGATCAGGCGACCTTGCACACGTCGGTGCTGTGGTAAAATGCTAAGGATAATAGGCGTGGTAGAGTAACATAACAAACTATCACAGCAGGTCATGCTTATGGCATGACCTGTAAGGTGCTTCGGTAACAGCAGAGATACGGTTGTTAGGAAGTGCCGACAATGTCGGCACAAAAACTGAATTTCTTTGCTTTCGTAGTTGCCATTTTTTTCTTCACTCAAGTCAGTGTTGCCAGTAAATAATTATCATTTTCATGCGGCATATGTGGTATACAACTTATTAGATCCGTTTTACCTGTCAAGCACAATCTTCATAGGGCTATAGTTATAGGTACACCCCACCGACCTAATCCTGTCCGCATTAGAACAGTGTTGGAACGCCGGTGGCGAAGTGAGTTACCATATCTAGGCCATACTTATATCACAGGAGGTCACGCTTAAGTATGACCTTTACGGTAATCTGCTAGAGGAGGTGAAAGAGGGCCGAACTTATCGGCAACGGGTTTGCTTGCAAATAGCTTCGTACGCCTTCGTGAATGTTTATGTCATCTTGAAAGCTTTTTCTACAGCTAATAATCTTTATAAGAGTTGCGAGCTTGAGATGAATCTTTGTAGAAGCTTTCTGTCCGTTACCGAAGCAAATGGGCGACATTTAATGCTCAATTACTGAACAAGAAGTTTAGAGTTTTTCGACTAGTTTTGCACTTTCGAGAGGTCTGTAAGGCACTGCACGTGAACAGCGCTGCCTTTTTTTATGCGTGCACTTTCTTTAGATTGAATGCTACGATATTGCGAAAGCACCCAAAGTTGCATATGGAAGCTGAGAACTTCTGTGCGCAGAATGTAGTTCTTCGCTGTTTACATTTCCAAGTGAAGAAATTCATGCACTTTTAGATTATATATTATCATTCACAAATTATTTACCCTTTCACCTAGTTTTCCTTTTGTTCAATCTCACTTACTTCGAATCGATTTTGTTTCGACCGTACGGTTTGAATGCTTTCGAGTTCACTGGAATCAGAGAGACGCTGTGTCTGTTGCTGTATGAACAAACTTGCTTAGGAACCAAGCTCATCATCTATTGATCCTGGAAAATTAGAGAGGACGATTTAATTGCAAAGCAATAGATAGTGGACATAGTCTAAAATGCACACCAAAGCTTGATTCTTCGTTATCTTCTGCAGTTTCTTGGATAACGAAGTGTGCCATGTTTTTGTTGTAGATATCTGAGAGCATCATAAAGTTTTATTTTTTTGTGTTCTAGGGATTGGTTTCACTTTCCTGGCCAAAAGATTCAAAGATTACGAAACAGAAGTGAATTTCTGATCTTCTATATGCCGCAGTTCTGATAGCTTTGCTGTTGGAAGCGTTATTCTTACTTTCTCATGTGCATGAAACAGATTTGTTGTGAGTGACTACAGTCACGACTTTTGAAGACACAGAACCTTCCTTACACAGCATTCTGATCTTCTCTTTAGTAAGCTTTCATTTACCGTTGTAAAAGCGGGGTGTCGTGTATCCGGCGATCACTGCCAAATACATGTATCTGAAATGTAGATAGGCCTACTGCATCTATTCGACCATATTTTTGTTTAGCAATCTGTCATAGTTGTTCGTCATCAGACGGAGGTTGGGGTACTGACCTCGAAATCACTTTATTTCATGTTCTAAATGTTTTTTTCAATCATCAGTCGTGAACTTGGGCATTTAGCGCTAATATGGGAGGACCAGCTGCGGGAACAGCGGATTGCAGCGTAGGTGTAATTGTGCCAGAGTCGCCTAACCCGGAGTACGATGAAGTCCGTGAGCTACGTTCATCCAAATTGGATAAAAAGAATCTCCCACAGGTATCATTCAGATTATTATTGCTCTGTTGTCTCAAGATCTTTGTCTAGGAATTTTGTCTATGGAAAAGAAGAGCTCGCTCGTCAGAAATTCTAGGATGTATAGTTGTGGATACATGTGCACTTCTAAATGAGCCTGATATCATTGAGATCAGCCTAAAAAGTGAGTTTATCTGGGAAGCTCAAGTCATGCCTTACAAATTTTGGTTCTCTTGGTGCAATTTCTCAACGAGCTTTGGTGGTAGAACAATTTCGAACAAAGTTCTGATGTTTATTGGAATTCGAAAGGGGTTTGTCAGCTGTGGAGAGTTGCATTAACCGAGTCAGAGTTGTAATCACAGCTTTATGTTGTAAACTTTTTCACGGTCTTCATCTAACTTCCTTTTTATAGATAAAATTCTTGTGCTGATCCCCTTTCCTGTGTTGTGTGAACTGGACAAACTCCATAAAAGTGGAAAGTACTCCAGTTATAAGAAGGTCAGTTGTCTACTACTGATTTCTGCATTCATAGTCAGCCATGTGCCGACTTTCTGGCGCACACCTCCCGCCAGTTATTAGCGATTGCGTGCTACTCAAGGGATGCGAATGTGAAAATGCAGCGTTTTATGACAAAGAGTAAGAGGCCAAATCGGGTAGTTATCAGAAAAGCGGTTTGCATGAGTATAGATGAAAGTGCCGTGCTCGCAGCGTGATGGGGCGACCCGAATTCGGCATGCAAATGACTATGAACGCAGCTTCAGTTTGCATTGGTCATAAATGCATTGCTTCATCCTAGGCTCAACAAGCGATGCATTGTTTGAGAAAGTCGAGCATGTGTGACTATTTGATAATTGAGGATTCTTTCGATGTAAGTACATCTGTTTTACACTTACGCGCTCTTAGCTTGGGGTTTTTAGTCGTTGGAGGAAGTCAATGGTTTCAAAGCCGCGAGAAATAACAACGATGACCTGATCTTGAGATGTGCCTTCAAAATTCAAGTAAACCGTGAGTGTGTTGTTCAACAAGTATCCAGCTTTAAAAGGTTGAAATTCAGTGCCTGCAAACTGTGTTGGAAAAAGAATCCTCTTCATTACTGATGATTGTCTCCTTTCTCTCAAAGCACGTGCTCATGATGTTAGGTACCTCACAGCAAAGGTGAGTTACATGACGTTTTGTACTTATCTTTTTCCGTGTATTCTCTTCCATTCTCTTCTTCAGGAGTATCTGGCCGAACTCCAGAAGTCTGGTTTGAATATTAGTTTGGACCCTGAGGAGGAACCTATGGAAATTGACCCGCCTCAAAATTCTGTCATATTGCCGCAAGAGAGGTAAGTTCTATCCTTAGCCTCTGTATTGTGAATGGAGAGTGCGCTAGGAAGAAATCAAAGGTGTTTTATCTGATGATAGAAGAACCAGTTCGATACTCTCCGAAGCATTGCGATTTCAAGTTGCGTTAAAAGTTTTTCTCAGTCAACCGTGTGTTACAGTGTCAAAGTGAAGGATCAACCAAAGGCCTCTGCTAAGAAGCCTGCAAAAGAGAAAGAAGGCAAACCCTCTGAGAATGTTGTGAAGAAGCCGTTAAACGGGCATATAAGCAAGCATCATAGTCGCAAAGGAGTGCCGAAGAAGAAGGAGCACCAAGAAACAAGTAAAGTTGGAAAGGATCAGAAACTCGAGCCTTCTGTACGGAACAGTACACCAGCACCTGCTAAGAAGGTTAGTAGTGGGGGAGATAAAAAGACATCCAAGAGCCCTCCTGTACCTGACAACCTCGCACCTGTCTGTAACCAGGAGAATAATGCACAGCTGTCCCCCCAAGTATCTGAAATACCCAGAAATCCAAGTGCTGCCTATAATATACGCTGTAATCAGAATATGTACTACGATAACGACCAAACTGCAAACTACTACGCCGCTGACAATGCTGCATATCCCCCACTGCAACCTTTCGCCTATCCGAAACAGTATGGCCCTGGCTGGTCGTACGGTTATCCCAATATGCGCAATCGTTCGCACCCTTACTCCTATGGTAATAGTCGAGTTCCTCTCGGTGCTTACCGTGGATCCCCGAAACCACAGAATGGACTTTGCGAAAGTCGATTGCACCCAAATCAATACCAGTGGCAAAGCTACGATCATCAGAAGCACCTAAATCCATATCAGTGGCAAAGTTACGATTATCAGAAGCAGAGGAAAGGATGGAAGCCGAAGGTACCGACAAAGATGGTCGAGAGGTTAAGCATTGTTGACGGGCCGCAACGTTCTTACTATAGATCCAACAGTAGAAGAGGAAGTTCCGAAAGGTTGGAACCTACCCTGTTCTGATTGTCATGCCTTTGCGAGATATCACTTTCAGTTTGAGAACCAAGCCAAACGAGGTGGATGAAAATCAAGATCAGGGAAGGAAAATCTTTAGCGAATTCATTTCACCTGCTGAAAATGCTATATCGAAATTCTCCGTTATCTGGAACGATCTGGTCGGACTAATCAGACAAAAGTTGGTGATCATTTAGATACTGTTTAGATATCGTTTTCATGTTTGACTCGTGAGAAAAAACTCAAAGAATCTATTTATTTTAATATATCTAGGATCGATCACGGTCATGTGCCAGAGAAAGTGTGCGACGACTTGAGAAGTCTTTGGAAAGCTGCTGCCACGTATGTTTTATTATTTTTTCGCTTTCCAGGGTTTTTCGCTATCAATTTGCGGCTTCTCGGTGACATTGTGTGTATATCCTGTAAGAGGGCGAAGGAAACAAGATCTGGATGTTATTCAAGGCCAAACCTTGCTATTTCCAACTCTTGTGTATACTTTGCTAGACCGTGAAAATTTTATCGGCGGCGGAATTGCTCATACAAGACGTCACAATGCCCTCCACTCAAACCGTCTCAATCACCCTATTTTCCAAATTGGTTTCAAGTGAATGAAAGCTAACATTTGAAGGCAGATAGCGTTGGAGAAGGAAAAGAAATGAGAAAGTCTTGTTAGCGCATTGCGTGGCCGTGGTCGCAAACTCACCCCTTTACACCTAAACACAGCCTTATATTAATGAAATGTCTCGACTTGCATGAAGGCGCCCTTGACAGTATTGTTCAGATTATGTCAGAGTACTGATCTGCAAAGCTTCAAAGAATTCGTGGCCATGGCCACATCGTTGTACTACTTCTGGACCCTCAACCCCGACTATCAGAATTTGGTGAGCTTTGTTCGACAATTAGTTGCCGCTTTACTGTTGAGATCATAGGAATTCCCGACATCTGCACTTTCAAGTGCATTGCAACTGATGAGAAGCGAAAGCTCAGAGAAGGCTGTAGAACTTGCTAATTCCATTCTTTGTTATGTCAACGATGATCGCATGCGCCTCGATAGAGTAGCAACGATAGCGCAGTGAATGCTTAGTTTTCTTCTTTCAACTTTTGACCTTTTAGAACTTCTAGCTATTGTACATAGAGTGTTTTTTGTTTTGTTTTATGCATTCGTTTCTGGTCACAGAGAGATCCATCATAATAACACAGGCGGTCATCTTTTACTTCATCTCGCTTTACATATTTTTCGCTACCTCCCTCTTTTCTACCATCTCCTATTTTAACTCTCGTCTTCTTTCATTTCATAGCATTCGTCATTTTTTCCTCAAACTCTTGAAATTCCATGTGGCTCGTTTTGGTTTTGGCGCACTCTGGGAGAATGTAGTCATTTATTCTCCATTTGTTACCCCAACTTCGTACACTCTAGTGTGTCCTTCTGTCTCGATTTACCTCAAGAAGGAGCGCATTTTCTTTTTTCCAAGTTTCCACTATTTGGTGCTGTAAATGCAGGTATCTGCGTTAAGTCTGTCTCTTCTTTCCCGTCCATTGTGATGCTGTAAACTTTTCTGTTTCCGCCACGTGCATAGCAGTCTTTGTGATCGTGACTTGTAATGTGAGTTGTGCTTTCAGTTTGCTCCCTTAGAAGCATGCCACATGTTATCCACCTTTTTCATTGTTGGTCGCAGTTCCTGTCACTTTTCATAGCTGGTTGCACGGAATCGCCCATGCGAAACGCCCGCGAGCGTGTCTTGTGCGGGTTAACATCGGCATTCGCGCGCATTAGTCATCATAGCGCCGTGCTCGGCAGCCGCGTTGCAAGCACGCTCGCGGGAGTTCAACCTGCAGCGATATGGGCGATTTTGTGCAGTCGGCTCTAGTTGCAGATCCTGTCATCATGTTCGTACAAACCAGAAGATAGGTATGTGAATTGAAAGTAAGGGCAGATTGGGGTAGATGGCAGCACCGATTTTCTATGAGATTTGGGAGGAAGATAATTTTCTCTTGCGCTTCGGTCCAACATGGTCCTTCCGTGGTCGTAAACTTTGCGATTCAGATTAATCTCAGACAGTATAGGCTTCGTAGCTTCTTGCAACGCTTGTCAGATAGACAAAACATGTTCAACATGTTCGAAATGGGCTATCGTATGCATGAGCTTTGTATCTCCAGTTTTCACTATAAATTTTCAGATTCAGCATTTAATTTGCGAGTCTCTTCCATTTTCTATAGCAAATCTGAGCGTAATCTTCTCATCATTTGGCTATTATGGAGGTCTCGCTCAATAATTTTCTAGCTCAATTCTAAGGCTGCTTATGGTTCCGAGTGATAAAAAGAAACACTTGTAATTATCATCACGAATTTTGTGTAGTTGTTCGCAGTACAGCGATACTGATTGCTGTACCGATTGGTACCATCAGATTCTAACTTCATGTGCGCAGAAAATTATCCGAGATAAAAAAGTATTTTTTAGTTCTGCTCGCAATGAAAGTTTCTAGAAATAGGAGCTTTCAACTGGCCGTAACCCGCGACTTCCGACGTTACACTTCGCTAAAACAGTTTCTTAAACCTGGTGTATCCTACTCCACTGATGATTAGCAAGGTCGCCCATGAACTCGAGAAAGAAACACGTGACGAATATGCGCGTTTAACATGCTTTACTCCAATTTCTGAAAGGTCATGTGGGAACTGGTGATGCAACTCGGGCCCTCTGATCTAATTTGAGCGAAGGTGCGTACATTCCCGGATCTGTGCTAGGCAGGTGCATCTCACTGTGTTGGTCTTGACTTGTAGCAAGGGTTAGTATGTGAGAGTACGTCATTTGCAGATATTATGGTGTAGGCATAAGCGTTCCATTGCGCATTGCTTCCTGTGCAGTGGCTGACAGTCTTGCGGTTGATTCACCTATGTCATGTAGTCTGGGCATCAGTGACGTGGTCTGTAGACGGAAGTGGGGGGCACTTTGTCTCAATCAATGGTAATCCAAATTTCAGCCGTTGGACAGCGTGTACACGCCAAAGTATTAGCGCTACGTATGGACGCTCAAAATCTCGTTTTACCACTTTTACTATGCTTTGTTCGCCATCTTATCATTAAAATTGCCCTAAAGTCTGTTCTGACTCAGGATAATCTGAAAGCGCAATGCTCCTTCATGCCTCTGATAGGTGCCAGACTTATTCAATTTAACTGGTCCGTCCGGTTCACCCATTCGTTAATGGTCAATTAATTGAATTGACCAATACCATTTGGGGTGAGCCGAATGAACCGGTTAAACCGTATAAGTCTGGCACCTGACTTTGCATCACGATGGTTTGTACTATTTTGCTAATCACTGTGGATGGGGGGGGGGGGATAAATCAGCTTCTACTACAGTTTGTTTTAATTGTAATCAGGTGTGAAGTGCGTCTGCAACGGTTTGTTAGTATACTATATATACAAACGATTCGGACAGGCTGTAGTATACGCAGATTTAGTCCTTATTTACAATTCAACCCTCTTTGCCGGTGTTGCGAGTCAACAAAGCAGATAACAAGGTTCACTAAGCTGCATTTGCTTTCGAGTCAGTGAGGGAAAATTAGAACCGTTTAGATTATGAGAGCATGTAGCATTTTCTGTTTCTGTGACTTTCTTGTTGCATGTGTTTGCTAATCCGTTTGTCGTTCTGATTTTTGTCTGTTTTGCCTGTTTTCGTGATGGTGTTCTCAAAGCCAGAGTGCGAAGCCTTTTTGATTTTCCTAGTCTTAGAATGGATGTTACATTAAACGCCATTGGAGAATTGTTGTTTCACGTCCATTCAATCCATTCAAGCGGAAGAATCGAAAAGGTTTCGAAGCGTGATTAGTGCCTTAGTTTGAAAGTGGGCCGTCTTGTGGTTTAGGGATTTGTTCGAAGAGTTTTTCCTGTCCATGGATCTTTTGGGGTTGCATCTTTTCCTCCTTTTTCGAAGCTTTATGCTTGTTTTCTGCATACGCCGGGCATCGGGCGTTCTTACATCTAACTTCGGTGGATCTTGTCGGTGGATTTCACGTGCTTTGTGACATGTTATTCCGCTCACTTCAGTTCCGGTACCGATTTGCTGTCCGTCTCTTCGCACGGTGAATTTTATGTTCTTTTTTTTTTTCAAATTTTACTGTGTGTGCCTTGTGCATGATGACTTGAATTCTTCGGGTGCGCTTTTTTATCATGAGCCACACACTCTATCTTGCCTCATTCCATATTGGTTTCTGTTCAGAAAGAATTATTCGAATTACCCAAACTGTTTTTTTTTATCGTGAACGAATGATCTATTCTGATTGGACTTTGAAATCTCATGTATTCATTTCTGAGTTGTACATTCTTGATGGTAGTGTCGCATTCTTGATGTAGTGATGACTAATTTCCTGTGGTGCAATACATGTCATTCTCGCTTCAATGAACTCAGTAAATCACTTCATCCCATATCAAGTTGTATGCACATGACCTCAACCTGCCTCATGTACATTCATGGAGATTTCATGACTTCTTCAGCGATGATCGCCTGTTATTTTGTGTTTGAGGAGTCTGACATAGTTTTATTGTCAATATGTCTTGCTTTAGAGTTTAGGATTACCTGTATTCTAATGGCGTTAAGGTTTTTGTTCGTGTTTATGGGAACTTATATTGTTCGGTTCGTCTTAATGCAAATGAAGTATTCGTTCCTCACTTCGTGATGTTGTGGTCGGTATCAAACCGAATAGAAATACAAATCAGTGCAAATATCAAAAGGAGCTGTTGGTCATGATTCCCCTAGACGCCTCGGCAGAAGTTTGGAAACCAACCAACAATAGAAAAACGAATGGCTATCAGGTACAGCTGTGCTGTTTTGTATCTGTATGCGAATGCATAGGCCATCCATGGGGGCAGCCAATATGGTAGGTGCCAGAGTAAGGGAGTATTTTGCTTAGTTTCGTTCAGCTGCGAAAGGCGCACAGAATTAACGTTGATTCTGCGACCTGCAGCTGAATCAGGCCTTGGCAGCAGTAGAGTTTATGCACCAGACATTAATTCTGCGCGCCTCCTGCAGCTGAACGAGCTGAACGAAATATTCGCTTACTCTGGCACCTACCTATGAACGATAGCTTGTGACAGCCATATGTATTGCATAAGTCAAATTTTTCTCAAATTTTAAATCTACGCTATGATGATGCTGAAAATTTGGAAAAAGCTGGGAGCTTAGTGGAACCCAATCTTCACTTTTCGACATCATTTTCGATTCAGAGGAAAACATAGAGCTCCAGAAGGGATGACTTTATGCTCGGCAAACTGACAACCGTAGGACTACCGTATGCTTAATTGCAGCTATCGTTCATCTTGGCATACACCTGCCATCCATATTACGCGTGCCCGGTGTCACTGGTTATCAGAACAAACTTTTTTTAGAAAATGTATTTTCAGCGCCTTCCGATGATTTTTATACATTTTGCGTATAAATGAGAGCAATTTATGAGGTTTTAAGAATGTATGCTGTACGGCCAACAATGCAGGATCCGCACGCGCAATAAGGAGGGTCCTTCTGCTGTGGATAATATGGATTGTGACATCTGGGATGGCGGGCTCATTGTACATGACGGTTGATGTAACCAGAGACCTCTGTCAGGGATTGTGACATTTAGTGGGCTGCGACTGACGCGCGGGTTTAAATGACTCGAACAGAAGAATTCATCGTAGTACTTTTCGAAGTCCGCTTCCTATTGATCTGGAGATGATTGCAAAAAGCGTTGAGGAGAAAAAGAAAACCGAGAGAAGCTTCTACTATCTGCCAGTAACCTGTAATACGGTGACAGTGAACTTGCAGCTGCAGTAGTGACTGGTATGGGACTGCGGGCAATCATTCATTATGGACAGTCATATGTACCATGAAGGGCAATCAAACCTTTATACACACACATTGCCAGGAAACTTTATTGCAAAACTGAATAATACGCTGCAGCGCTGTTGATCCCCGTCGATCTGTACCGGCGGGCACGGGGTATTGCCCACGGAAAATAACGGCCGAACACTCATGCCAAAAAGACGCTGGAAGAACAATAGATAATTAAGTGGACCACTGACAAAGTTACATGCATGTTTTCCAACAGATCTACTAGATGTTGTTATAAGGGCGCAAGTCGTAGTCTGTCGGCTGTTGGTGGTGGTGGTTGATGGAGGCGTTTGGCTTGTGTAGAAAGCGGATACTTGGCGATCGATATTTGAATGGGTAGGAATACACATATAGTAAGCCGGAGTGCAGCTGGCTTTGCATGTTGATTCGGCATAGTAGTTTGGTGCAATCAGAATTAGTTGCCCTAATAGTGACACATTGTGGCCGATGCAGCAGAATGTGCCACTACTAGGGCATCTGATTCTGGGAGCTCACAACACGTCGCTAGGAACGTTCCAACACTGAACGCTGGCTATCCCGTTGACCCGTGCTCCACCCGCTTTACTGCGGGATGATTTATGAGTACGGAGCTGTTGCCTGCTGGCTCACCCCAACAGGCAACAGCTGGTCGAACAGCACACTAGTCGTACCTTGTCAAACGTTTGGATGTCAGAGATTTCATTCAAATTCGGTCCGTATTTTCTTTCACAACTTCATTTTGACGGTTGAGGTGACATCAGCCCGATGCACTATGTGCCATTATCAAAAAGGTTTTATGTGGACTGAAGGTGCCACAGGCTAGCCTGACGCCACGACGTAACTCACCTATCACTGCGGGTTGTTTTATGGGTAGTCGTTCCGGACCAACAGATAACCAACAGTACCGTCCGTTTTTCTGAGAAAACGAGTGTTCAAAAAGAATAAAGTGTTTGATGGAGAGGGAATGTTCGAACACCCATACCCCGAAATCCAGGTTTTACAAAAATCTAGTATAGTGACAGCATTAATGTGTATTAGTATCACATTACGAGCGTGTTTCTAATTTTGCGTAAGCTTCACGAAATAGCTGTGGGAATAGAAATATCATGTCCCCCTTTCTGCATCCGATAATTTCGGGCTCACTCATACATGACAAGGGGATTGGGAACCTATTGCAGTTGAGGTGGATCGTTTCTGCCAATCCAGGCAGATATCAAATCTGGTACGTGTCTTTTTTAGGGTATAATTCGGCTATAGATTTTGGAAAATCTATAATCATCAAACAGCTTGTTACGCCCTGCATGCTGCACGTTTACGGAGCATTCTTCATTCGGCGATGCTTGCGTTATAAAGGGCTATAAGGTGCGCATTTTGAAGCTGTGCACTATAACGCCTTTTTCTATGCGCAAGTGTTGTCGGAAACTCAAAGGACGTTTTTAAATGTAAAATCTGCTAGATTTTATAAAAATCGCCAAGGCGAAGGGGTGCTTAATTGCAGAGAGATTCTTGCGCGGCTACTAAGACTGCCTTACAAAAATCATTCTGTTTTCTCATCGTATAGGCATGACTTACCTTCTCCTACACACTGCAGTTGCCCTCAGTGAACAAAGGTAATACTGTTAATACGGTAACATAGTGATACTATTAGCACTGGTAATGTAAAGCCGAGACCTAGGTGCTAGCCATTGAAGTCCATAGTATTTTTTCCGTGCATTTTGGAAGCAAACTAGGAAGAAATCTTTGTTTTTGTGTATGTTTTCTAGCGAAGTCACTTTGACATATTTTCTGAAAGGTTTAGCAAAAGAGTACTTTCAAAGGCACCGTCCACGCAAATTGGGGTTGGTGAGATTTACCTAGCAGATGCGGGGCCCCCAACTGTATGATTGCCCAACTCGCGCTGCCTGAAGTTGCTTCCGAACCGAGAAAATTGCTTCGGAAATCGCTTCAGGCCGCGTTCGCGACGCTAGTTCCTCCCCTTTCGGAGTGGGCGTGACGTTCGTCCCGCCCATCCGCGCGCGCCCAACCAATCACCGTACCGAAGAAATCGGTCTGCGGGTTCTGAAAACGGGGTTTTTCGAGGTTTTCGCGGATTTTCTACTTGATATTCGAAATCAGGGGTATGAGAAGGCCCTGGAACGGCAAAAACATGGAGGTCGAAATTTTGGGTGGACGGTGCCTTTAACACGTTGACGACCTTGTGTATCCGCACGTATGCACGCCCTGACTCCCGTTTAGCATTTTCGTGCATCCGCGCATATGCACGCTAGTTTTTTAGGTGCAAACGAAAAGTTTTAAGGTAACTTCTATGCAGTAATACTATTAGTGGCCTGATTGTCTTACAGAACACAGGGCATCGCGGCAGCTGTTCAGAAGTCTTGGCCGCAAAATTGGGTAATCAGTACGCTTTTGATGTAGTCAATACACGCTAATTACGTTTTCTCGAGAAGGTGAAAACTCTGTTTAGCTGTTTTGTAATCAAACAAAGATGAATCAGACAAAAAACATCTGGTTTTACAACGCTTTTCTCGAAGAGCGACTCCTCAGATATAGCCAGTGCATGGATTATTGAAGAGAAAATCGATGCAAAAAACCTTGATTTGTGTAAGTCCTGGTAAGGCTCTGTGATATACCTGTATGTCTGAACAAAGTTCGCACGTTTTATCAATAAGTGACAAAAAGACTCCCACATGATGTTTTCGTGTATCCTCGCGTATGCACGGGCCAAATGCGCGAAGGACGTTAGTGGGAGTTTCGCCTAAAATGGCGCGGTCGTCAACGTGTTAAGTGATCTGTAGGGTTATCGTTCATAAAGGTTTTCAAAGCGATTCTGCAAAATTTCGGATGCTCTGCGCATCAGACAACTTCTCTTCCGATGAGCTGCATTCAATCACGCATTTGCAGCGCTCATTGTGATGCAGAACTTGGCTTCCTCCCCGAAAAAGTGAAGGAGCTACTGATGGGCAGTGAACTGAGAATAATTGCTGTGCTGCTTTGCAGAAAGAAGATGTATGGGCGGTGGCTATTTATGTCTTTTGTGATCTCTTCATAAGGTTTGTGTGTGGATCACGCAAAGGTCAAAACTTGACTTACAGACAATCTCAGGTTGTGTCGAGCTTTACCTCGCTTTTTTTGTTTTGCTCAAATCCGAGACTGAAGGCGAATGTCGAGTATGTTCGCACCTTGAAGGCAGCGTCCAGGCAGATCTGCACCTATGGGGCTTTTACGTGGAAAGTACTTTTGGGGCCCAAACTAAGGCACTGCCCAAGGGGCAGCTCAGGTAGTGCTGTAATGGCTGAGATATTCCCCTCGAAAATAGACCCCGCAACCGTGTTTTGCATGGATTCATGGCGCAAAGCGTGGATCCTGGCGCGAAACTGCCATTCCATGCGAATACGTTCGCGGGGGCCAGTTTCGAGGGGAATACCTCAGCCATTAAAGTACTACCTGAGCTGCCGCTTGGGCAGTGCCTTAGTTAGGGCCCCAAAAGTACTTTCCACGTAAAAGCCCCATAGGTCCAGATCTGCCTGGACGCTGCCTTTAAGAGGGGTTTGCACGAGGCTTACAAAATTTCATCGTGATTTTATGTATCTCACTTTTTTTGAAAGTAGTGCTGACAATACTGTTACTGCGCTTTTCCGCTATCGCGAATTATCGGGTAGAGAGGGTTTCCCAAAGCGTTCTTTTACATCTTGCCATTTTTTTCTTGCTTGGGGTGAGCAGTCAGTGTTCGAAGCAAGCAGGGGAGCGCATAGCCTCTGCCTTATCCAAACTTTGCTTTCAAAATGTTGTTCAAGTTTTTCCCGATAATAACGATTATGGGACGGAATTTTAAAGGCTGAGTAGCACTAGTAGAAATGTATAATCAAGGCGATATAATTATGTTAGCTGATTATTTCCACGCTTTTCTATGTATGTCCGAAAAATGGCAGGATCTTTACGTTGCTTATTGAATGCATTAAAAACGCTAGTTTTGCTCACACACCCAAATAGTTATCTATCTCCTGTCTTTGGCTGCTCTTGTCTCTCCAGAAAATGGAAAATGTGTCGCAAACTATAAACTTTCCGCCGACCACTTCAGCAACTCCAGGATGAATTGAATTTTTTCGATCGATCTAAGTTTATCACCTTTTCCGAGTTTTTTCTTTATCGACGTTATCTCGCAACTAAACAGCTTTTGCACAAAAATTTATGGTTAAGCTTAAATGGCTCCCCCATAATTTTACTTTTTGTTCGCCAAATGTGAGATCAAGTGGAATGCATCGGCAATGTCACTGGCGTCACACTTCTTTTGCATAACGAATTAGATGCGTTTCGATGCAGAGAAGAACTGGGATGAAGCAAGAATAAACATGCATTAATCTTATATGGCTTAGTTTACTTAATCCTCACTTATTTTTTGAGGTCAAGGTTACTTTTGAAGAAAATTTGTTATTGCTAGCCATAAGTGCAGATTAGTGAACCTTTGGGCAATCTTAATTGTGCAAACAAATATTTTTTCTGTTATTTTGAGTGTTTTCTAGCTTCCACATAAATCAAAATTTTGAAATTTTGATTGGCTTGAAGAAAAGTCGTTCAATAAAGCTGACAATATTGCTCTCTTTCTCCTTGTTGAGCTCAGAGGAATTTAGTTGGTTTTTTTTCTGAATCTTTCAGTTTAAGATATATAATGACCTGGATAGTAAGAAGTATAGATAGTATTATAGATATTATAACGCTCTCGCTATCTCATCATTGCTTTTGCGAAGGTAAAAAAAGCGATTCTAATTGTAAGAACGCATGCATTTTCTTGAACAAACTGTGAAACGTAAATTTATTCATGACTTCGGGGTTTTTTTGCTTGTGAAAGTTTGCTCGTGATCGTTGCGAAACATGGACAGCTGTCTAAACTTTTAGTTGCTAAAGTATGTATCTGTTTACTTATGTCTACTAAAGCAATATGAGAAGCGTGACATACCTTTCTTTGCGTTGCAGATTCCAAAATCTGGTGAAAGTGACATGGGAGGTAACTTTTGCCTTGGACAAACAAATGTAGATAGTATTACTTCCCCGTAAATTCTGGGGTTTTGATTCCACAAAATTTCTGTAATCAAGTATTCGAGAGTGATTGAATTGTACAAAATTTTTAGAATCTCCCAGTTTTTATAATTATCACCATGTTATTTTTTTTAGGAAATGCAATTTGAAGGTGTTTGAATTAGAGTTTGACGAAGTGCAAAGTATTTCTGCCTTCCACTTTGATCTTCCTGGATCAGGTGAAGCCCCAAATATTTATCAGTGGAAATATGCGCATAAATTGCACTATAATACAATTTGCGAAATAATGTCTTCTCTCTCAAGTGCGTCTATAATGTCTGTGAATAATGACTCGCAAATGTTCATTTGAAGACAAAAGGGTATGCAAGTGTATATAGAGTAAATCTCACGACTACTACTTACATACATATTGGCACACACTTCAAATATACAATGCTGATGTGAACACAGAAACGTCAGTTCCCCGAAAATACGATGTAAAATAGCATGCGCACGTACGCGCGCGCACGTGTATGCGCGTATGCGTATGAGACACAAGCACGCACACGTACGCATGCTTACACTAAAATGTGAGACATCAGCAGCAGCTCAGCGCGCAGAATGATAGTCTGTCTCGATGGGAGATGGATGGTTACTACGAGTTGGTAAGTGTGGAATCATTGGCAGCGAGCATCAATCAATCAATCAATAAATCAGTACAGTCAAGAAAAATCGATAGTGGTCAGTTGATTCGTGGATGTGACATTGATTAGTGCATTTGCGGTTAGTGTGCAATTATGCAGGAGCCTGCATACGTAGTCGATTCGAGTTACACGTTTTACAATAGAGATGTGAGTCGAGCGGATAGCAGCCAGCTCCTTCGACCTGGAAAGGAAACTCGGAATATAAATGCTAGCAAGAATGGATATAAGAAAGCTGGAGAGCAGGAGCCCACCTTGCTGGAGAGCAGGAGCCCACAATCTTCACATTTGTAGCAGGCGGGGTGGAAGGATTTGTCCATAGCGATAACTCGAACGGATTCTTTTTCGCCCTCTTGTGGTATGATACCTTTCCCGCAGACGGCACAACGAGGAGCGAATTTCCTGCAATTTTATGGATTTTTCTCCAAGATTTTTCCACATGATTAAACTTGAGGAAACAATGGAACAAAATTTTTGGTGAAAAAGCTCACTCGTGGAAGCATGGAACACAAAACACGCTGTTCTGTGCATCAGTCGTGAATGGGACACCGTCGAGCACTTTAGCGCAATTCGAGCAGGTGAAGCAGTTCACATGGAACGTTCCACCGCAAGCACGTAAAAGTCGATCCGAAATCGGTTGCGAACATTTCGTGCATTTCTCTAGTGTGTCCTGAAAAAATGAAATGTCCCTTTGGAGTGGAGTGCGTTGTACGGTCGACGAGATTTTCGTTAAATATATTGTGCTTGCGTTGCCGAGAAATTGCGCTAAAGTTTGCGCGTGAACTAGTAGCCACGCCAGTAATGCCGGCATTTTGCGCGCGCAAGTGGCCGGCCCACAACCCGCATTTTCTCGGCACCGCAAGCACACTATATCAAGCGGAAGATCTACTCGAGCGTAGTTTTGTAAGTTCCAACATCTTTCAAATTTCTAACCCCATTTGGGACCTGCCGTGGCATGTTTAGAAAATGCGAGCAAATCGTTTTTCTGTTATCTTGGATGTGGAATTGCTAAAAGTGGGGAGCATCCAATCTGTGATTGCCGCTTCGATAGGTGGAAGAGAAGCTGTGCAGATATATTTTTTACCCAAGTCGTGATTGGCTGGTTGGCAGCTCCAGTCACGCCCAGTAAGCATTCCCTGTATACCCAAAAAGCGACTATATGTCATTTGTGAATATTTGAAGCACAATTTTGATTATGCACATCTAGCTAAGTAATAGAAAGGAAAAGCCAAAAATGTGCCGAGCCCTTATCTTCCTTCTTCGCGCAATGCTTTGTGCTATCCATGGCGAACTTTAATTCCCCATGGCAAAGTTCTTGTGCAAAAACTTAACCCCATATCGCTGAACTCAGCTGATTTGACAGCTGAAATGATCTACGAACAATGTAAAAACCCCGTTGGAACGTTTTTGGAATGATGAACTTCCGACTGAATTGCGCGCTGTGCTCGTTTGGGCTAGTCGCTAGTGCGGCCTTCCGTGATTAGAGGCTCCCATGAGAGTTCGAGGCGGATACGCTCTGCTCTCGACATTAGAGCTCAGTTCAGAAAACGCCAGTATAACGTAGAGATTCGTCAGCAGTACGACTGGATTGCAGCAAATGCATGCTGAAATCTGACAGAAGAGAGGGGCACACTCACCTGGTAGCATTTGTCACATGTTGGATTATTGTCGATATTGTAGAATGAAGAACCGGCAAGTTTTACACCGCATTTGGCACATTTGAAGCAGGAGACGTGGAAGACCTGGAATCATGAAGATCTCATTTTTTCTTCTTTTTTTTTTTTTGATTGACACCATTCTTCCGGGAGTTTTTGAGGACAGAACTGATCTTGACCTCAAAAATTCTTCACAGATTGACTGCTCAAAGACACCGTCCACCCACATTCAGGATTCTGAGATTATGATGTTGTATAATAGCAGGGTCCCGACTAGGTAATCGCCAAAGTCCCGCTGCAAAAAACGAACTCCGAAGGGAGAAAATTGCTCCAGAAGGTAGAAGCAGTCCAGACGGCCCCGCCCATTAGTGTGGGTGGTCTGAAGATAATGAGCTCGAATGCGGGCTTCAGGGCAAATAGAAATGTCAGACTGTTAATCCCAATGAAGGGATTGAAGGGACGATTCATGACAACTCTAGATACAGAAGCCCGATTTTGAACTTTTTATTTCCAGACCACCGCGTTGATGGGCGGAGTTACCTTGGCCGCTTCTACTTCTAGAGCGATTTTCTCGCTTCTGAATTCATCTTTTGGAGCCGGACTTGGGCGTTTACCTAGTTAGGGACCCTGCTATTCTAAAGCTTCAAAATCTCAGAACCCGGAATATGGGTGGACGGTGCGTTCAACGGTAATCAAACGATTGATGGTGCTAGCAGAAACTTTGCTTCCTGCCCCCCTTATGAACTGCTTTGCTATTCACCATCCCTTTATCGAATTTCCCTCAACAACTATCGAATGCACGAGTACACCATGTGCTTTCTGCAAGCATATTTTGCAACCACCCACTCCTATTTCGCATCTGCAGCTGTTCTCCCTCTTTCTCGCTCTGCCTCTGGGCAGCTTCGTTCCAAAAACTCATTATTGACGCCCTTTTTTGTTGCTTCTGAGCGTGGATTTACGAGTGTTGAGCCTCTGTGTAACTTCTCAGCATACACTAGTCTTGTGGGACTAGCTAATTTGAGTGTGTTGTGTGGGATGTTGAGATAATCGAGACGCTTTCATGGGTGGAAGGAGTAGGGAGTTAGAGGGGGGGGGAATGAATTTTTGTGATTGGGTGGTGGAAGGACTTTTGCTTCGCAGATGTTCCGGCTTGGAGAAGTACTGCTACGGACTGTCGAGCAGATTTGTCTATATATATAGTGCCCTTGCGGTGCCGAGATTTTGCGGTAAAGTTTGCACGTGAACAAATAGTTACGCCTGAAATGCCGGCATTTTTCGCGCGCAGTTTGCCGGCAGTTCTGGTGTAGCTATTTGTCCACGCGCAAATTTTGCCGCAAAATCTCGGTACCGCAAGGGCACCATGTTTGTCGACAAATGTGCTCAACCGTCTTTTTGCCCTTCTAGTTCAGTCCCCTTCAGCTGGAATCTCTATTGTAGTTTTGGCATCCCTAACATAAATTTTTCAGTATGAATACCATATACAATTTTCCGAAACCGGTTCTGAAACACATGACTAGTAATTATCTCGAGTTGTTATACCATGTGTTCATCTAAAAAAGTGTAATCTTCCAGTTTTGACTATCATCATTTATGTGTTACCTAGGTGAATCAAGATGTTCTACATTGTTCTTTTGATCTTGAAAGTTCTTATCTAAGATGGAGTGCTTCTGCTCCTTGATTTTTGATAGGGAACATAGACCAACTGTCATTTTGATGATGTTCTGCCATCAAAGTGATAGTTGTCCTAGGCATGTTCTTGGGATGGGTAATGGAATGTTTACTAGTCATTAGATTGCACGGCTATGTATTGCTAGATGCCATTGTTCAAAATCTCAAATATCCACGGAGCTTCGTAATATTTTCATCGCGTTTTTGAACCCGAGCTTCCCTAGGGCTATAGATCGTCTCAAAGATGTTGTTATTCAGCGATAAATTGTCATATGAGAGATATCCTGTTCCTCTAGCGCCATAGAGTCGCCTCATCCTCTAGGAATAACTCTCATCAATCTCAAGCTATTCTTCAGGGAACAAAGAAACGAACTAGCAACGAAGCAGCGATTCTATCTCTGAATGTGCAAGTCTCTTTGACAAGGATGAAGTGATGATGAAAAAGCAATGATGATGATATATGGGGTTTGAAGGAAGCTGTTTGTTTACAGCCAAATGAACCATGCGTTTAGAAGTGTTGTGATTATGCCACTGGAGACTTGACAAGCCTGAGGTTTTTTGGTCGTTCTTAGTTTTGGGAGCACTACTCACAGTCTGCCCGGGCAAACGTGGATCCCAAGACTTCTTATGTGGGTTTACTGATTGGGAGGTTTGAAGTAAGCTATCCTCCAAGCGCTATTTTCTGGAAAATATCATTGATTGAAGCACTTAACCCTATTTCGCCCAATACTGTACTTGGCAATGCTGATTGGCTAGCTCGGTAAGAGTGGGTGGAAGTTGGAGTTGACGTAGAGTTTTTAACCAGGAATCTTAGGCCTTGGACAGAGTTCATGCGATTTGATCGTTGCGATTTAATCGCCGCGATTTTCGTTCATTTTCATATTACATTCAAAAATTTCGAGCTGGAAATGTATCACAACCGAAATCCAAGCTGATCGGCATGCAATGAACTCGTAACAGTTGTCTTGTAGCGATTGAATCGCGACGATCAAATTGCGTGAAGTGTGTCCGAGGCCTTAGGCAGTGGCCCAGTGAAGACTCCTCATAAGTTTCCAAAAAACCGTCCCATAATTTTTCAGAAAAGTGACCGGACTTGAACAGTTCACCGAAATTCGCGTCGCATCGCTATATCTTGGTCAAAGCGGACGGATTCTTTCAAAGGCACCGTTCGACTCCGCTGGGCGATGCGCATCTTCTGATATATAAAAGTGCACCTTTGGTTGGTAGGCGGTCAGATTTCATAGGTTTTTGCCTGCGGTGGATTACTCAGTGGCAGTTGATAAGCACACTGGGCAAATTTCCTCAAGGGAAAATCTAGAAAGATTTGTGAAACAGACCGCCTACCGTGCAAATCATTACCCAAAGGGCACCTCTATATATCAGAAGATGCGTCTCGCCGAGCTGATTCTATTGGCGCTCTTGGATCCAGAATTCGTCCATTCTGAACTAAAATATGGCAATGCGACGCGAATCTCGGTGAACCCCGGTGAAGTTCGGCGACTTTTTTTGACGAATCTTCAGCGATGTTGTACATTGCTTAAACTTTGCATTTTTCGGTGGGAAGTCCCGCGATAACAGAATGATCCAGTAAACGCAGAAGAGATCTTTACTGCTGTACTGCTTACGTCAAGTTGAATGTACACTGATCCGCCCCCATCCAACGATGAGTACATTACAGCAACACTTTTAAGAGTTCAATGTGGAGTTGGCAGATGTTTATATTGCAAAGAAAGATTGACGCATTCATGCTCTAAACCATTATCTTCCCGAATCTCACGCAAAAGTTTGATCATGATCAATGTTGAGTGTGCAAAATTACGTCAAAGTAGTGAAAGACGTGCACGAACCTTATCCAATGCCGTACATCCAGGCTTGTCGGCGGTGATTTCCGAATTGCACGCAACGCAGACATCTGTAAGAATAGTGATTGAGTCGACGTCAAGATATTTTAAGGTTTTTTTTTTACTAATGAAGAGAGCACCATTTTTTTGTTTATAAAAACTTGGGAATTTTTATTGACAGGCTTTCACTGGTGAGAAGACACTTATCATCTTTACTATTGCTCTGAAAACCTTTCGTCAGTCATAATTCAATGCCGTCTCGAGATAAAAAGCCGAAAATTTTATATGGAAGCGAAGAAATTACAATTCTTAGGTTTTTTTGAAAGATGGTTTAGGCTTGCTTTGCTCTTTGCTTCCTTCTTTGCACAGATCGGGGAAATGAGCATGGCGGAAAAAGAAACGAGCAGTTTCTGGATTTGGTCGGTGTGGTCGAAACTAGCAAAGAATCGAGAGCGCTTTTCACTATACCCAGTTTCTTTGATAATCACAATGATTCGAGGATTGAGCGGCATTTATAAGAAACTTGGGTTACTTCATGAGACAACCCTCTGTTGAAGAAATAAGTAGTGTTGCTTAATTCGATGGACGAATTTGGAATAGATGAGATTGTGGAAGTCTTGGAAAATTCTGCATAACGAGGCAAAAGGAGACACAAGGGCAGTGGCTCGACAAAATGGACTCCTGTCAATTTTTGCTGGGTTAGACAGTAGACCTCCCAAATACAGCGAAGCCCTGACCCCAACCTCGACTTTATGCACTGAATCCTAAAACACACTCCAAGAGCTCACCAAATCTGGTCATATGCATCGAGTGGGCGTCAATAGTGGGCTTTTGAAGCGCGGTTTCAGAAATAGTGCATGAGTTAGAGGGTGGGGTAGGGGCTAAGGTGCACTTGGATGGACTATCACCTATTACCAAAATCTGAGAAGCGTTCCATCTTGCCGAGCTACTTTAACGAGCGGACCTCACATACCCTTTGATTCCACGGGATTGGCGTCTGGAAGGCGACCGCTCGCACCCGCGACGCAGTCTGCGTCTCTCTCGCGAGTGCGCTCTCTGATCCCCTTAGGCTTCGAAGCCCCGTCCTCCAGCCGCCCAACCCGTTGAATCAAAGGGTATTTGCGGTATGGTCGGAGTAAATGACTTGTCCAGATTTTTTCAGGCTAGTTATGGGCCCTTTTCGTTCCCGGAATTGACGCAAAGTTCCGGCTTGACACTGGAGTATGAGAATTGGAGAAAAGTCAAGTCTGTTTGGACATTCTGGAGAGAACAGTGAGTTTCCTTGATTTAGTTGTCTGCGAGCATTAGCAGTGATTTGATTTGAAAAGATAGGATCAATGACAAGGGAGGTCTATAAAAATAGGTGATGTTATTAGATAGGAGATGGTGCAGAATGCGAGATGTTCACGAAGCAGTCGCTCCTTTACAGATTAACTATTTTGAGCACAGAGATTGACGCTGTTGAATAATTACATGCTGTTGAGGATATGATGGTCACATATCTTGACTGCAGCGTTGATCCCTTTTGCATTTTAAAATTTGGCAGCATTTGAACGATTAAGAATGCATAGCGCTTTTCAGTGAAGTGAGTGACCGCTCGCTTTTGAATGAGTTGCAAATGGAATGGATGGACTGAGACTGGAGTTATCAGGGATGGCTTATCACTTCAGGGCTGGGTTAGGATCATTCATTTGCGGGTTGGAGTTGGGGATGTGCGGGCGATGGGCAGTAATGCGAGGATGGGGGGATGCTCCTTCAAGGGCCGGGCATATTTCACGCGATTTCAGTCGCGACGCAATTTGGCAATTCGCCAGAAGTCTTCAGACCCAAAGCCAGCATTCTGCACATGCATAGTGTGTATAACTTACGTGAATTGATAAAATGCTCTAATTTCTGTACATTTGAAATGTGCTTACAGTGAGTTATGGACAGTTGGAACATTGCCAAGTCGCGTCGCGACTGAATCGCGTGGAGTATGCCCGACCCTTTAGCCAAGAATTAGGCATTCGGTTGAAAGTAGCTGGGTATCCGTAGTAGTACTTTGGTGTGTATTGCAATGAGCGACTAGAGCGCTTTGCAAAGGGCTGTATGACCAAAGGCGAGTGCAGAGCCTTGCAAATTGCATGCTGGACGCTAGTTTTGGCATAGCATGCATGCTCGTTCTGACACTTCTTCTCCAGTGGCCAAAGTTCGAACAAGGCTGAAATGCTGATGTGCTTCTTGTTAACAAGCGCTTTTACTTCCCCAGCAGCAGTAAATACTAGTTGTCTCCTTTTTGAGTCAAGAGTTTGGAAACTTCTTGGAGGCTTCCAAAATGGCTGTTGAAGTCTTTCTTCTACTCCTCCTGGTCCGCTTCTTCCGCTTCCAGCGCCATCAAAGAGCAAAGAGTACGGTAGCAACTCACTTCTACCCATAGTGACGTTGAGATAAGATATATAGCACCACTGGTTGCACGAACAGACGATATAATGATGTATAGACCTACTTGAAAGCCTATGCTTTAGTTGTGGCATAAACATCTTCGAGAGTTATGATTAGGGAAGACTTTATGCGGTAGGGTTTAGAATGATTTGCGGTAGGTGTGAGTAGAGCTGTGGATTTTTAAATGTCAAGGCTGATATAGGGGAAATAGCAGTACGAAAAGGACCTTAATTGCGCACTGATAAAGTTTTTGCGATATCTAATCTGACACATAAAGAATCGTAGTGCTAATTCAAAACACATCACATAGCGGGAAACCGCGGTGCGGTCCCGAAGCGCGCAGATGCAGTCTTGCACCTTTGATTACTGGTTCACTAGTCAGTATAAGAATTGTTCCCGTACATTATTCTTTAACACTTTACCGTTTAAATGGAAATTCTCTTTTCTATGAAATTCTCTTTTCTATGTGATAGCGATTTATTCAAAAGTTTCAAAGTTTTCGTTGATCTGAATAAATCTGTAGATTTTATAATTCTTCCAAACACCTGGACATTCGGTTTCCGCCTTATTTTTTTCACATCAATTACCCAGTGTAATTTAGGTCGCAATGCGATTAGTGCGATAAATGCTGTTCCTACTTTTGCAAAACTGGGCTAAGAAAACCATTGATATCTATCTGAACTCGCCACATGATGCAGAATGTGTTAGCGATTTGCGGTAGAATTGGCATTTAAAGGCTTCGAGCGGGGAAGAAATATGGTCTGTTAGTCAAGCTAAAAGTAGGACATAAGTGGTAGAGGGGAATTCTGAGTGTTGTTGTTGTCTTACTCCTTGCATCAGTGAGTCAAAAACTTGCATTGAAATCTATACTTTTTTGATTTTTGAAAGAGACCCGAAGCAGAATAGGCTACAGTCCGTTTCACTGGAAATTTTGTTTGATTTACGAGCAGCTAGTACTCCAAAGTTGCCGAAAACGAGATATATTAAATAGTACATAATGAAACGTACACTGGGAAATAAGTGACGACTTTGAACTACTGGTAAGTCCATTTTGTAGAACGAATGCAAAGAATCATAGAAACTTTCATGAAAGTTACCAATTAGTCCTTAAGAGCAACACTAAATCAATGATTCTATCTCCTCATACTTGGGCTAGAAAGTTTTTGAGACGCACTCTAAATTGAAAATTTTGCACCATATACAGGGTGTCCCAAAAAGATGTGCACACTGTTTGATCGTTAACTCTCCTGCTTTCCTGTCTTTTGCCGAGCTCAAGGTGTCATTCTGTAGACCGAGGTTCATCTTAGATTTGCTGCGTGGAGCGAATGACCGATCCTTCTTCATTACTGTAAGATTACGGTAGGAACTTCGAGGAGGATTTTAAGCCATTCAAAGCGGTATTTTCCCCGTAGTTCGCCTCAGAAAGGAAGCCAAACAAGCCAGAAACTCTTGAATGGGCTAATCGAAGCCCCTAAGTCTAAATATGAAATTTGCACTTTAGTATAGCGCTTCTTTCATAAGTTATTTCAGATTTATCGTAACAACTGTTTTTCCAATGTCCATCGGAAATGTGAATAGGCCAACAAGAAAGCTCGAAAAACTCATGAAAAGTCATGTACTGAAATCAGCATGCCTGAAAATCTTGCCATACAAATTTTCAGATTTTTTTGGAATTATTTCATGAAAAGGCCTATCTCACAGTGACGCTGTATGCTGGAAGTTCATACCGTAATCCTACAGTAACGAAGAGTGATTGGTGATTCGCTCCACATAGCAAATCTAAGTTGAACCTCGGTCTACAGAATGGCACCTTAAGCTCGGCAAAAGACATGAAAGCAGGAGAGTTATTAACGATCAAATAGGGTGCACATCTTTTTGGGACACTCTGTATATGGTTCCAATATGGGTACGCTGAAGACAATAGGACCAAAATCTAAGAAATGTTGTGCAGTCTCTGTAATTGAAAAAAAAAATAAAGGGGTTTTTATCTTTCTTGGCTACTCAAATTAGCAGTTAACTTGACCTGTGAAAGCTGTAGCTCAGGAAACATTATTGCGTGATAGTTAATAGGTTCATTCTATTCTTTGAAATAATGCAAACAAGCACAAGCCTTGCAAAAATGACATAGCGAATAGTCTTTGTTTACATAAGTAATTTGCTTTTTGGTTCGCTTCTCTCAAAAAGTTTGTTCGGCATCAGGATGTCAATGAATTTCTCCCACGAAATTCTATGAATTATACGAACATGTACTTCTTTTATAGATTTTAGTAGTAATTCAACGTGAACAAGTTCAAGAATGGGCTGTAAGTCATGTTACATCCTGGCAAACAACCTATACATATAGCCTTATATAGTACTTCTGCACTTTTATAACTTCCGGATTTTGTTGTGATGTCCTCCTGATATGGAAGAAAACAAATTGTCGAGAAGTTTGTGCGCAAAAGATTCTGTCACGATCGAAATGCCCTTCAGAACAGAAAAACATATAAAATAAAGAAAAAACTATGGATAAAAATCTTTGATCTCAAAAATTAATGGTTTAAACTCAAACGTAATGTTCAAAAAATTTACATACAAATAAAAGGACATATAAATTGTCATTAAATACAATGACCCCACCATAAAATTTTATACCTCCTCCCCTCCCCCC